GTACCAACCGTCACCACAGTTCCCTGGAAAGGTTCTGAACCACAAGGATTGCTTCATTTAGAGTGCACTTCTCTTGGATTTAAAGTAAGTATCTACACAAAGATGCACATAACTCAAGATAAGCTTTAATTTTATTCAAAATTTCAGATTAACTTCAATGTTCCTGGAGGATACAAGGGTCTAGCTCAGGTGAAAGGACAAGAAGATAAAGAGGAGTGCCGAAAAGTGAGGAAAATTAATTTTTGAAAAAATATTCATTTAAATAAGCGGTCTTCAGCAAATTCAAACTGGAGAAAGCTCTTCGAACTCTTCCACCGAATTTTTTGTTGCCAGCAAGACTTGCGGCGTCACCCGAGTAAAATCTGTGAGTCTTGAACGCTTTGAACACCACATTTTCCTCCTTAATTTCATTTTTCATAGTTTGAACCAGCTGGACAGAATTATTCTCTCATTCTTCATCTTGTCCATCATGGAGCTCTCATCACTGGAGGAGACCGAGCTTACTTGCTGCAGTGTTTTATAGGGAAACCTCCAATGGATGCAGAATTTTCGGCTGATTTGACAGTGATGAAAGGGTGAGAACAAAAAGTCAAGAATTTATTATAAATATGATATATCGCTCAAACGAAGATTGCAGAGAACTAATGATTGCCGAAACTATATCGCTAACATCCGTCCCTCCAACATGTGCGTATTCGATCCGAAGAGATTCACCGGATGGTCCCGTTGTTAAAACGGCGTTTGTTGGTGATACTGTCTTTCACCGTTGGGATTGTGATGGAGGTGAAGGTAAGCGAAATTCTTCAAACTAATTAGAAGAACCATCACAAAATCCGTCTTTTTATAATCCAGTAAGATAGGTAATTTGAACTTCATTAGACTTTGCAATATTGTCTGTTAAACACATAGGTCTTACAGTTTTTAATGTAGCAGAAGAAATGTTTCATTCTCTAATGTAGAGGATATAAGACAACTGAGTAATTAGCTTAACATAATCTATTAATGTCCTAATATTTGAAACTTCCAATTCAAGTTGATCCTGCTTGAATCCCTTGCTCACTGAAAAGTGGCAGTTTCGTTTTTTCAAAAATATTACTATGCAATAAAGAGTGCATTTTGAGAGTACATGATTAATAATAGACACAAAAGAGTTTGGCTATAAAA